AGCTCAAAAATATCTCATGTAACCAGTACGAGTTGAGGTCTTATCCGGACTATTATGAATATTAAATAGTAATAGCCAAATAACAGCCTGTAATTAAGTGCTTATTAATATAATGCATCTAAGTTTTATTTAGATATGTGTATAGTTATCTACACTCATTTCGTATCAAACACCCATTAACAAAATTTTTGATTAGTTTATAGCGCAAAACAATAAGTGCCTACTTTTAATTGTTTACTCGTATAAAACTAACATTGCTTTACTTGATTATTCGACAGGATGTTCTTTGACTGATGCTAACTCTACATATGCCATTGAAGTCATAAATGATGGATACTTGTTTACGGTTACTATCAAGTCCTCCTGATAGTTTAGTTTACAATATAGATACGAGGTAATTAATGAACTAATCACAAACTTCCACATATACTTCCTTCTAAGTAACTTCCCTTACCAGTTTTGTATGCAGTTATGAAATATAGATTAAAATTATTATGAATTTACTCTTTTATAACGATAAACGCATTAATATAATCGCAATTATAAGTCAATAATAAGTCGCAACCGTACCCACTACGCTAACAAAACTTTTGTACGGTGATTCCGCGATAAGCATTAAGATAATATTTGCGACAGTTTTATTGTTATAAGCTTAAATTTATTCTTCGAAATAATAAAAGCAAGTAATCGCATGAAAGGGATAGTTGCATCGTCTGCGGTATTATTGTGGACAGTTGCCCTAAGTGGAACTGATGGAAGTGGGCGAAGTGTCTCGTAAATATGAGTGAAAACAAAGCGTGGTCTCGTGCCACATCAATTATACTGTAATTAGGTTAGTGCTAATTAATGTTTATGCCAAAGACGATTGCGTACTTTCGCAAAAATATTAATTTGTTTTCGATAAAAAAAATATGTACACACGGTGACACGTCAGACAACTACAATATGTTAAATTTCCTCAATTGATTCTGACCTCCACAATGTATTAAGTTTAAAATCAAGTGGAAATATTCGATAGTTTTGTATAGGCCGACCTGATGTTGATTGTACACCAAATACGACGATTAGATTTAAATCAGTTTAAATTTTTATAAGCTTATTTCAAGGTATTCTAACGTTTCGATTGGTGATTTTTTAAACTTAGTAGTTTACAAACTTGTTCTTTTTAAATATTACTTATCTATATAAAATAAAAAACCAAGAAAAGGCAGCCCGTAATTTGTTTCTTGCAGGTTCTCAGTACAAGCACATAATATGCTGTGGTATGAGGCACTAAATACAGACTTAATTAATAAATCTGAGTTGCATTATGGATTCATACTAATGTTGCCTCTAATTTTTAATAATATATATTTGTAGTAATAGTGTTTAATATATTAAATTAAAGTTAATTATTACATTAAAAAGCTATTTGTTAATCACTTAGATTGAGAAACAAATATTTAAGTTATTAGTATTGTAAATAGCTTACTAGTTAAGTAAGTATTATCGATAAAAAATTGACCTGAGTTTTATTACTAACTAGTTAAATCTAGTATTCAACCTAGTAAATTATGAAATTTTGTTTTAAAGTTCTTCAGTGTGTGTAGGTAACGCAACTATAGGTACGTGAGTCGATGCCTTGTTTGTCATTCATTGTCAGTTTGTAATGTATTACGGCAAACACGGTGTAATCTATTAACGTTATGTTTAGATAAATATACAGATACCCCCTGCGTATTTACGATGCAATAGTGTAATATTATTGACGGCGGAAATATACAACAATTTATCATATTTCACGAATATATCATAATTCATAATCATAACATAAAGCAATCAATCAATTTGGAAATATCATTTGAAAAATACGAAGGATAAATATATGTAGTTATTACACATGTTTTGGGAGAGAATTAAATGAATATGAAAATATTAAATAAAATTTGAATTGAAACTTTATATTTTAGTATCAGATTTTTTTTAAAATCAGGTGCATATTGTTTTTTTTTAATCGATTTAACTTGATCAGAAGTAATAATATTAAATAAAAATTGTTTTCAGTTTTATACAGTACTATCTAAATTGAATCGAATTCAAACATTCGTGTGTTTTACTTATATATTATACAAACTGCTTCACCTGTTTCACCTCTTGAAAGGTTAATTTAAAAAACACGAATTTTTCGCCTTTGTATCCATCAAAGTTCCTAATCACATCTTCCAAAGTGGCTTTTTTAACAAAAACATATTTTTAAAATTCAATGTAGGTATAACTACGTTCCTGGCGATTACTACAAAAGTATTTAAACTGGTTGACTCATTTCTATTTTAAAAGTCAAACGGGTAAATTACCTACATACAAATATTACCGAGTCAATATGGTTGGATATTGAATAATTTAATGACTTGTGGCTACTAATTCTAGAAAGAATTTCAAAAACATATTCTATATCTATTATTATTACCTTATTAATCCGTACTTATTATGAGTGGGTGCACGACTAGTTTCTGCAGCAGTAATTAGGATCTTGTTACTGGTATATTTTAATTTTAGATTGAACAATGACTGTGTGGGGAGCCGAAAAATGAAGCACCATTTAGAGAGAAAAGAAGTCGCCGTTCCAAGCTTCAGACTTCAAAAAACCAGAGGCTCAGTGCTATGTTCAATAAAGTTCCACAAAATGTAATTGACCTACCCGTAAATAAATTTAAAATTCATGTTACTTATAAGTAAAGGCCCTTATTAGGTGGATGATTATTTTAAAAATAGCAAAACATGCCACCTTTAAGCAAACGGGAACATTTTTTCTTCGTTTCTACAATCTAAGGTTGAATGTGATGGTCTCCATAAATTGCATACATAATCACCTATCGTAGGTACTATATCGTTGGCTTTGTTTGCCGATCAATAATAAATTTCAGTCAAGTTATGATACGGAATACGGAATAATGTAGCAAAAGCTATTACGAAGTTGCTATTTAATTTTTTTCTTAATACATAACACTAGCTAGGTTATCTCTATAGAAACAGCAGTCAATGAAGAAATCCGATAAGCACTTAATTAATGTTTTATCGTTCACGAATTGTTTATCAGCGGCATATCAAAAAGTTACACAAATATTCTCGCTTACTCTTTTATTATATGAGTTGTTTTAAAGATAATTAATTATTATTAATTTGTAAAAATCATTGACACAATTTGGGTATCTGTAAAAAAATCGCCTACAACTCAATAATAGCTTAAAAGAGCTGAAATAACCTTTACACACGCTTACACTAGATTATTGAGCACCTACGAGCCTAAAAAGAATCCGCATGCAAAATTTTAAACATCTAGCACTTGTAGTAACCAAGTTTCATATAAACTTTTATCCCCTAATTTACCCCCTTAGAGGTTGAATTTCATAAAATTCCGTGTTAGTGAGCACCTACGTCCTAAAAAGAATCCGCATGCAAAATTTTAAACATCTAGCACTTGTAGTAACGAAGTTTCATATAAACTTTTATCCCCTAATTTACCCCCTTAGAGGTTGAATTTCATAAAATTCCGTGTTAGTGAGAACCTAAGTCCCAAAAAGAATCCGCATGAAAAATTTTAAACTCCTAGTACTTGCAGTTTTTGAGATTTCGTGATGAGTAAGTGACCTTTCGCTTTTATACATATAGACTAACTTTCGCCGGCGGCTTCGCCCACGCAGTCCCTAGGGAAGTGTTTTGTGGGATAAAAATAAGTCGGCTAATGTCCTATCTGTATATCAAATTTCATCAAAATCCATTCAGTATTTTCGGCGTGATTGACGGACAAACATCCAAACAAATAAACTTTCACATTTATAATATTCATTGGATTATTAAGTCTACGGATAATTTCTAAAAAAGAGAATAGGTACTCTGATTTTTTTTATGTGTATAAATTGTAGTGAAACTTAATACCAAAGTTAATTTAGATAATAAGTATATACCTACATATATTTGGTTAAACTATAACGCTAACTTAAACTCAGTCGATAATATTTTTTGCACAGATTATGAAAGTGTTTACAACGTTATTAAAATATTTCAGCCTTGCATGATAAAGTGATGAAGATAATCACATAATTGAGATTATAATCACAACAGCTAAGAACCAACACATTACGAAACACCATGATATAGATCTGGTAATTTATATATTTCTGGACGTTTATTAGATGATATACAACATTTGGAATCATAACGTGAATTTACATTGTTTCATTATCCCAATTTTCTTCATGACGTTGCAGAAATACTATGCACTTTAGTAACATTTTAATGTGACTTTAAACACGAGGTTTTAGTTTTTAATTCACGAACTGCGAAGGGTTATAAGTGATAAGTCCTTCAAAGAAACCTTACAGAAAGTAGGTCAGTGTTGTGTTAGGTAATGAATTTCGGTAATTTATCGACTGAAAGAACTCGGCTATTGTATAAAATTACATCATCGTACAATTACTTTACAACTGCAACACTCACTGTCTAATCGGTTATCTCATTTCGCATTAGGCCAGCATCTGTTTCTGACAAGTGCTTAAATGTAGTTCATGTTATATCCAGTTTTGACAGTTGTTAAAAAAAGTTGCTGCACGCCGTTGAACGATTGGAATTACTCTTGATTTTAATATTTATGTTAGTGACTTCGGCACCGTTATGTTTGTGAATAGGTTAAGTCGTGCTTCATTATGCGATGTTTTACATATGAGTTACATTTCCATTCTTTATTAAAATAGAAACCTATTTTACATTGCATCGCTACTTTTATAATTTTATAGTAAAGTTATAAATCAAAATTAAACTGGCATTTTCAACTTTAACTAACAAACATTTTAACTCTCCTTTATAAAAGTTTCCATCGTTCTATTCATATTTCCGAAAATTTAATCGAACTATAGAGTTCTCAGGAATACCGTAAGCTTCAAGTTATAAATTGACGAAACGAACGCGTGTCTGGTTTTGGTTTGTAAAAGTACCCAAAGAAGTTCCATATGTTTTGCACTCACCGAGTTTCCCCATCATTTCTTCTAACGCACGATCCTTGTCCATGATGTCGTCGGTGTTTGTATTTCTTGTTTTGTTTATATTCTGTAATGTTCACAAACACCATTGGTGATGGGAATATGTATTTAAGTTAGCGCGCGGACGCGTCCCGTGCGAGCGTGCCGCAAACGGGCGTTTGTGAGCCGGCTTAGGAGCGAATGTGAGGGATGTGTCTGCGTCGTGGCGCCGCCGCCGGTATCGGCACTCGCGGTTAGTTACCGCAATCGTGCGAAAAAAAACTTGTAACTCTCGCGTCTCTATTGGCTCGTCCCGTCCAGTCACTGCCGATATGCCACCGTCGATTCACTATAGAGTCAACCAACTGTCAGTATTTCTAAATTACTTAAATGCATCTTCCAACAGAGAAGAAATAGTTTGTTTTTCAATTAGATATTCTTGAATTAGATCTTTCCAGAGTTACTCCCAACTTGGTACTATTTTTTTTAGATTCCCAATATTTTTTGAAGCCGTATGAGCTCCTTTAGCATACTCTGGCGCCAGTGTACCCAGTCAAGTTTACGAACCGGCAGTTTTGGATATGGATGAAGTTCATTCATGAGCTATATTATCCAAACTTAACTTATTGTTAACTAAACTATTGTTGTTAAACCACTGCTAGCATAAATATTTATCCTGCCAGTGGGGAATGAGGCAATATTCTTTACCATGGAGCATTATTTGCAGTTAACATTTGTGTTGTAGGAAAGTAGGTACGTACATTTCAAGCTTTAAATCACAAGTTATCCTTATATAAAATTAAAATTCATGAGAATATTATAATGCAAATGAACTTAATCAACAAGTCTCACGACCCCATTTCCATTAAGGATAAATATGTTTATAATTTTAAAATCATTGATTATATAAAAAGTTAGTAATTAGATATATCGTTGATGTTTTTGTTTGAAAAACATTGGAGTGCCATAATTGGATATTTCAAATTAAATTACTTTAGTTGAATGAATAGATGTCAAGAAATTTTTATATGTTTTTAGTAAAAATCTGGCTTTAGAATGATATGAACCAGTGACCAATCATTTAATAATTCGGTAATACAATTTATAAATTTTTTTAAGTAATCGAGCTACTCACCATTTTTGTTCTGATAATTTATTATGCTAATACAGCACACTTCTTATTAATGAGATCAGATATACTATACTTAGGGGAATAACCAGCGTGTATTATCCTTGTTGAGATTTTACCTGCAGATGTATGGTAACGAAATATGATTTGATAGATATGTTTTTGTTCTATAAAAACACGAGCAACGTTTTCAATTATGATTAAATGAAGATATACTTGGCGCCTACATGTTTATTATAGAGTATAAGTATATATGTCTATACATGACATAAATATTTTCAAGGAAATCGATGGAGCTGCGCTTCTGACGTTTGAAGTTTATCTTTATGAGGAAAAGCAATGTCGATGTAAGATTAATTTTTTACACGTGCCTTCTAATTTAAAGTGTATTTCTAATTACCTTGCCTAATTTTACAGAATAGGTACAATTTATGAAGACGTGACTACAGATGTATTGGGTAAAGTTGGCGTTTGGCAATGGTTGGTGGTTATTGTGTCGTCAGTGTTGACTTTGTCTTCTCTATTTAACGGTTACGAAGATATGCTATTATTGAAGCCATCGAATGAGGTCTCATGTATTCCACCGGAAAGATACGAGGTGTTCAATTCCAGCTTGTGTAGGGTTATTTCAATTGTCAACGGAACTAACCATATTAAATGCAACAGGTGGCAATTGAAGCTATTTTGGGTGATTTGGTTTAAGAAATCTGTATGTATTATGATTTTGTTCGGTGCGTTATAAAATATGGGTTATTTCATTTTATTTCTAATAACAAATCCTCTTTGCAGTGGCTTGTGTTTTGTGAAAATAAGATTAAACTATTTTCAGTCACGATGATTTATCGGATGGGTTTGATGTTCGGATGCGTCATGTTTGGTGTTATTGCCGATAGGTTAGCTTAATTCATTAAATGATATAAAATATTCAGCTCTGGTAAAGCTTCATTTAAGATTAATATCATAAATCTAAGCTATTTTTAACATAATAACTATACTCATTATTTTAGTCTTAGGATGGAATCAGTATTTCCTACAATACCATTGACAATCAAATTACAATATTTCAGTGTTGGAAGAAGAACTGCATTTATGGTAGAGTTATGTGCTCAGTTGGTATTAGGAGTAATAATAACATTCTGCGATTCACTGGCCTGGTTCCAATTGCTCGTTTTCTTAAAGTCATTATTTGGAGGTGCTAACATTTTTGTTGGAATAATTTTAGGTAAGCATATCGAGAAAATTACTATATTTTAATTCAACACTGCAAGAACTGCTAGGTATGTAGGTATGTAGTTTTAGAAATTCATTTTTATTGCCTAGGTACAAAGCCCATTTGTTATCAAAGAAAGTGATTTCAGACAAGGGACAATGTTAAAATGTAGATTTTGTATTTGACTTGACCCTCTGAGATGGCGTCATCACTACGAATTTGAGTCACTCGACATGTATTTCATTTTAAGTTATCAAATTTAATCGTAATCGGACTAGCCGCGGTTTGCCCATGAAAGCATAACAGACAGACAACATTACTTTCGAATATACATATAGGTAATACTAGTAATGAAACTCGTCTGCCTTGAAAATTTAGAATAATTTAAACACTATGTACATAGGTTTAGAGTAAATCCATTTACTAATGTGATTAAAAATATCCTGGGAAGCTACTGAATCTCGGAAACCAACGTTTTTTTATAAAGTTTGCGGGGACTTTCGGCAGCGATAAATTGATCTAGCTAGGATTCTTGTACCACGAATACATACGTGAATAAATATTTGAGTACATCATACAAATTGATTATACTTTTGTCGAAGGCAAAGAATTGAATGCCGTCATCACAATGTTAGAATGCGAGCCACTCGACAACATATGCCATGTACTTGACTGACTGGCCGGTACAGTCAAACTTCCAGCATAGAATTTTATGTTTCCTTTTTTTGTATTTGTTAAGATTCTTTTAATATCTTTCCGTGTTTAAGTTATAGTTTAGCGAATTGGTAGTTTGTTTATTAATCGGTTAAGTTACTTATGTTTCTAACAATTGAGCTAACTATAATCATCATTCTATATATTTTCATCACATAATATTTTTCTTTTCTTTCCATAGCATGTGAGGTGGCAAGTAATCAGTGGCGTTCACGGTTTAATACAATTCTATCAACATCTAGATTAACAGCCATAATTTTTATGGTGCCCTTGGCAAACTCTTTGCCAAATTTTGAAACTCTCAGTTCCATCGGAACTCTTTTTACTTTATTATTAGTTATCACTATAAGGTAATGCATCTTAGAATAAATTATACCTATGAATAGTTACATATATTCAATCGAATGCAAAAATCAACTACTGATATCATGATGTGTGCGTAATAGTGTAGTAGTCCAGTAGCGCTACCATGAGTTGCTATCGAAAATTCTCATTACGTTACCGCAGTCGCTAGCGAATAAACGCACTTCGAATAGTATTCGATAGAAGTTGTACCATGAGTCACATTTACGTTTACTATACTCGCTAACGTTAACTCGAACATTCGAATAGTTTTTGTTACGTGACCGTGTTTGCGCCTAACTTCACTCCAAATGAAACTGTCTCGTTCTAATTATGCTCAATAGAGTGAGAAAGGATGACTTTGGGCTAAAAACCGACTATTTAGATCTTCAAATTTAAAAAGTAGATGAAACCCTACTAATTTTAAGCGTCATTGATCATTCTCATAACGCGAAGTGTAACTGATTATTGAATTGATTCGGTTATTTCCGTGTTGTGACAAATCATTGAGTATTTCTGTTTCTTGACTGACGGTTGTTTTGGTAAATTGTGCATAATATCTAAACATTAAATGCGGAGTGGTGTATCACAAATACAGTTATTGGTTGAATATATGGAAAGGAATGTACTTCAATACAATTCTATTATATTATTTAATACCTAGAATATACTTTGTACAGTAAAATGAAGTCCTCCAGTTTTTTTAGACGAAATATTTGTTTGAGTGTTCATATAAAGTTAAGGAATGCTGAGTGCTCTTTATTTGGTTAAGGTAAATTTTAGCGGGACTTTAATAATATAATACATTGTTTTTTGTAATTTATCAAACATAAAAATTTTAAAATAGACGCAGTTTATGAAATTTTTGAAATATAGTAAGAATATACAACCTAATCCAATGCTATCGATCTAACCCTGTTCATTTATTTAAACATTCATTTATTTATTTTTGTTGTTATCCGTATCACGTATCCCTTTTTAATGTTTTAACAGAAATGGTGACCTTAGTAAACCAAAAAACTCCTTATTAAGCCTATATTATTTGATAAAATTATTCTCACTAATATTTCTCATATCCGCTTCAAATTTTCTCTGTTCTCGTCGTTTGTCTTCATATACAGCTTATGATACATATAATGCCTAGTTGACATTATATGGGTCAATAATAACTGAAAATAATCTATTAAACAATACTCTAACAAGAGTAATAAGTTTTCACGCTACGTTTTGCAAGTGAGAGAGTTAACTACAGTCGCTACGGTATTTCTCGATGACGTTTGTCAAATTTGTAACTCATGGTACCGATGTTCTATGGGATAAGCTACGAAACGTAAAAAACGTTAGTCGCTAGCGATTGGCTTTCGATAGGTAAATTTACTATAGGACTCATACTAGCAATCTTTAGTTTCACAAGTGACCGCTAGGAGCGCTGTACAGTTCTCCATACAAATCATTTACGCAGTCGCTAGCGAGTACGGTCATTGTAATCTCATGGTAACGCTACTGTCTCTAAGTATTAAATGTTAAGCAATCAGCTTCGCTTTCGAAAAGGAATAAGTGTCTTGTTTGCGGTTTGATCAGATAACATAGATGAATTGATAGATATAGTTGTATATAGGTAGATATCTACCTGTGGTGCAAATGAAACAGGCAAATACTAAGAATGTGATGACACGTTTTGTGCGTGACTAGCAACGGAATCCTTTGTGACTTTACGAGTCGTTTATTACAGACGCTAGTGCCACCAAAAAGTAGACAAGTACAAGTAGTATACAATATGCCAATTTTGATAACCCATAAGTCTAAGGTATCAATGGGGCCATTCAAATTTAATGGAGTAGAATCGCGTGGGAATAATTTTTCAATTTAACTCAGTCTTTCGTTTTCTTTTTTTCATTCAAAATAATTCAATAAAATCAACACTGCGTATGCAAAACATCTTTATATGAAATATGAGAATGTCACATTTTTTTTATTTAATCACTTATCAATGAAAGTTAGACCATCCATATAATTGAAACTACGACTATACCTATATACCTACGATTTGGTGATTATACGGTTTTCATTGCGGTTATCTTGGATGGTTTGTGGATCAAATGTATTATTAATAAAAGCCATAGAATATATAACCTCATAGTTATAGGATACCAAAAAGTACAGATGGTATACATTGTATATACAAAGTATACCATCTGTACTTTTTGGTATATTCAAATGGTATTTGAATTCTACGCTATATAGCGTATATTAAGTACCTACTACCTAACTGTATTATTATAATAAAATTAATGGATTTGGCAGATGGGTTCCGGAATCACCACAATGGTTACTATATAACAGAAAAATATATGTAGCGGAAAAAATTATATATCATGCAGCTAAGAAAAATGGACTCCGTTTGTGTAGTCAATTTAAAATTAGACCTGTTAATCACAGAGTACGTCTGTAAGTTATTCATCCAAAAAAGTTTTTTTTAAGTACTTATAAAGCATTTCTGGCTCAAAAACTATTAAATTATTTTGAACGTATATGTGGGACAATGACGCGTACGTCGCGTTTAAATTTTAGAATATAGAAAATGATATAAGAAATCAATGCAATGTTAAATTGGTAACCTATTGGTAAATATTGGTAAACTATTTAGTACACTCACTTGTATGACATATTGAAGGATTGGGATGGCACTCCCGTATTTTAATAGAGTTTTAAAAATCTCACCAAGAACCCATCATGCGAGCCCATTGCAGATTGGTGTGTGTTAACGTATGCAGATGCAGCCCGGTCCAACAGCGAGATGTATTCCAAATCACGGAAGAGATCAATATAATAAATTTTTGATCACTTGCGAAAGTAGCTTAACTTCTGCATACTTTATTTTAATACTAAACTGTTACAGGCTTACAACGCACTAGATGAAACACGGACATGTGCTGAAATATTAATGACCTACAACATAAGGATGATGATTTTGGTGACACTAATAATGTGGTGTCTGTTTAACTTCCAATGGAGTTATTTATATGTTAAAATCTTCAATGTGAATGGGAAACAATTATTATCCACAGTGTTGTGTTTTATCAGTCTCTTTTGCGTCTTAACATTTATATTATCGAAAAAGCTAATACTTCGGCATTTGTTATTAGTAAACATATTAATGTTTGGTATATCTTCATTGTCCGAGATAGTGTTTGGTCATGTAAGTTGCTTTTGAATTCGTTATTGCGCATTTTGCATTTATTAAAATTGCTATTTTATAATCGCAGGCACTTTATTTAAATATTGGTTTTAATGGAAGATTTTATATCGATTTACAGTAGTTACTATAACAACCTGGCATATTCTATTCCTTTAATAAAATAACTTCGTAGATGATTCGTTCGTACACGGGCTTAAAAGTATCGCCTTTTCGAAGCGCCCGGGTTCAACAGCTATACACGGAGTTGCACAAACGTCCATTAAAGTTTTCATTAGTTTAAATTAACATTAAAGATATATAGAATATTCATTAGAACTTAAAGTCGCCATTAAACGATAATGGATGTAACATCAAATATTCATAAACATAATCAATAACAGTGGCGTAGCGTGCCTTGGCGGAGCCTCGTATAAAAATTTGTTTGTGGGCCCTTATGAAGGGTACAGATTTCTCACAAACAGAAAATAAATGTTTGATTAAATGATTATTATTATTATACAATAACAAAATGCGAACTCAATTATTTTCAAGGTAAATAGACAAAGGGTCAGGTGTAAAATTTCTTTTAAACCTAAATCCGCTTAGCTTTCTTTTGTTTGTGAATGAGAAAATTTTCGTGTCGTTACCTAAAATATTTTCGTTTCAGAGAGTGTCTAACTTATTTTCATCGATTGCTTTAGCTTCAGGCATAGTTGTGCATGGTCTCATATTGAATATTACGCCTCGTCTTTTCGCTTTAAGAATAAGAGCTACTTTATTCGGTTGTTGTAATGCATTCGGACAACTGAGCACAATGATCAGTTACCTTTTATTCACTTTCCAACCACTGAATAACATGACGTATCTGGCTGTGAACACTGCTATCACTATGGCTTTGGCGACATTAACATTTATGCTCTTCGATGTGGATGGAAGGGAGCTACCAGATTTGATTGATGATATGGACTACTTTTCTGAGTAAGTACCAATTCAGTTCACTGTTGCTACTCTGTTGAATATAGATGGTCAAACACTGCGCTGTCACAGCATAGAGGTTCAATCAAAGTAAACTTACTTCAAGATAATAAAGGTTTTATGCTGCGATGCTACGTTGGACACTGTATTTTTACAGAGTACCGAAGCATGCCCATTTTCCTCAACATTATTGATTATCGTAACCAGTGTCGGTTCAAACCGTAAGCAAACCAGCACAAAGCAGTAGGAAAGTCTGTTTTGATGATCCGCGAGTTTTTATACTCCACGTAGGTATTTCTTTAGATCTCTAAACATCCTCTCTTTCGTACGTTATGATCTATCTCGTTATATTAAATGTACTTTTATCTAACACTAGTATACTTATGTATTGGGAAGGATAGAGAGATAACGATTGCTGAATGGATTGGCCTTGCTGTTGGTGAAAAATTTCAATAGATAACCTATTGTACTTGTCGAGATATAGCAAATTGAACTATTCTTTATCTGAAATATCAATCAACTATTATAATTGATGAGTTTATAAATAAATTCAATAAAGAATTGTTATTTTTTAGATAAGAGTAAGTTTCTCAGAAGCGTCCAACTTATTCTTTAGGAATATTTTCTAAGCACAATTGACTAGTAAAGCCCGTTCACGTTTTGTTGTGATCGACCGATGAATTTCCACGGGAATAAAGCATTTACTATTTATTTAACTATATTTTAATAATCGATATTTGATATGTGCGAGGAGCGCGAAAGTGCAATGACTCGGCTATGCTGCGCTTAAGCAACTTTTGCCGATGGTAATAGGATGGGTGATCAATGACTTCTTATCTGGATTTCCTCTGTGTTGTGGAAGACACACCAAAAGGGCACCTAAACAAAAATCACCTTTTTGTGTTCAAATAAGTTTGTGATTGAAAACGAGAAACCATAGGCAGGATGTAGGTAGAGTACAATGTTTAATAAACATACATTAATTTAAAAAATACGTTATCTCTAAAATTGACCAGTTTGTTTATTTCTTCTCGTCATTAGTTTCTTTTTAAAGGGAAAATTGGTAAATATTTAGTTGGAGACGTTTTCTTTCAATCTTAATGGTTTGTAGAATAATTACCTATGTAATAGAAAATTTTGATTTTTGTCTCTATCTCATTGACGGCCGCGTGCATGTAGTCGTAATTTCTCTTTAATTGCCTTGCCGTAAGTTCCGGCAGCATTTGCAGTCGTTAATACCACTTAATACTCACCTCATTAGGACCTATTGGCCAGTTCTTTCATGATTCTATTTATAGCTAAGTCTTGGACATTAAAAGCACTGCCACTCAAGAATATAAAAACAAGTTTAAGTGGATATTAATGTTGATTTCTTTTCAGGTTATCGAAGCCAATCCGTTGGGCGACTCAAAAGACTAATTCTCCATCTAACGAAGAAGTCCAAATCAGGATATATTCCTTTGGTAGTGCACAGGATCGAGATTCTACATATTCCGAGATACATAGGCGTACACCCGCGCGTTATATACGGTTCAGCCAGTGTTGGAGGAGTCTCTATGAAAGATTCCGACGTATTATTCAAACGAAACATTGACAGTGGTCTCAAATGAAATTATAGTTTCTTTTTAAGAAAATTGCAATAAGTTTCTATATAAATTTTTTTCAGAAAGTTTTATTACATTGGAATGTGGTGTAATATGTTTTTATAAAGAAAAAGCCGGTAATTGCTTCGGGATTATTTATGAAAGCAAACTGTCAGTGACTTCAAAATTACAATAAAAATAAAACTTTGGAATCACAATTTATTACTTATCAACATCTCACTGATATATAGTAAATGCTTCAATTAGCAGATATAAACAAAGTACTTAGGTAATTAAGTAAAATTTATGATAACATAAACAATGAGGTAGAATATAAATTCGATCCTCAAAGTATAGGTATAATATAAAACCAAACAAAGACAATTAGCAATAAATTTGTACAAATTTATAATATTTCGTACCTATCTTAAAATGAATACAAACCCATTACATGTACTTTTAACACAGGTATTAAATATAAAAGGCCTATTATTTGAGCTTTTAAAAGTTAATTCTATAATAATGTATTGAACTTACAATGACGCCAAATTATTATTACATAAAAAAATATCTTATCTATATCTAGAGACTCTGGGGCGTATTGTACAAAAGAAAACTTAAGTTTACTAAATAAATTTAACATTAAAATTTAATATAAACTGTCAAACTCACTTATCAGTTTACATTTAGAGCCACCGATACAATTTTCTTATGAAAATAATTTAACAATTTTATTCAAACGTTAGAACGCGAATAACTAACACTTAATGTAGACTTAGGATACTAAGGGTAAAAAAACGTAATATAACTGCACATATTTTAAATGCATTAGTAATAAAAAGATTTATGGGCTTTGAAGGTTATTTTACACTTTCACACAAACGAAACTCTATAATTATATCAATTACATACTCCTTTGAATAACCTATTCGTAAGTTAGTAATAAGAGTTTCGATATGTTTGCTTATAACTCGTTCATCATCTTTATGTATGTCAAAGTTTTATATATTGACATAAAGTAAATCGTAGTAATAAGTAAGTTTATGTTAAATATAGCGGTCTTTGAGATTTTCAACACATAAAATTAACATCCAATACGAGGACACATACGCACATAGTCATTTTAAAAACAAAAATTAATTAAGGCATTAATACATTTTTAAATAGTTAATGTATTATTTCAAGATTATTATTGATAAAATTTCGCTTAAAATAAACACTATTACTTTATATAAACTACCTAATTGGCAATACGTAATAAATTCTTATTGTTATGGATAAAAATAAAAATAAAACAGTTATTGTAAATAATTTTCATTAGATTCTCGACGAGGGACATTAAATACATTTTTAGATGTAAAGTTAGTAACAAACTTGAGGATTATTAAACAAGCAGTAGTCATGGTGGTGCTTTACAGTTAAAAAATCATGGCCACTTTCAAATTGCACATTAACAATTGCATTTAAATTTAATTAAAAATTGCATTTAAATTTACATAAAAAATGAATTTAAATAAAAATTAAAATTGCATTTAAATTTAAATAAAAATTGCAAATGCAATTTTTAAATTTAAGCTTAGTATGAAACAAAAAGTAGCAAGCCGCCGTTGCCGCAGTACTTATATACGAATTCGGTGATATTCATGCTAAGACCAAAAAAAAGTATATACTCATCTTTATTCAGATTATGGAAACAACATTCACAGACGGATAATTGAGCCTTTATAATTCTATGTTATATTTTAAAATAAATATCCACTTAATTACACAAAATCAAATTATACACTATACCTATTTATTATAATTCATTCATAGAACCATTATGTTCATACAAAACTATAGAATCAACTAAATGCCATTGATTAATTTTAGTTAGGTGATTATACGAACTATGTTATATGATTAGGAACTCATTATGGTAACATATAATATATATCCACAATATAATAAATAAAGCAGGAAAACTTTATGTAATCTACTTCGTATACAAATATTGCACCACGGAAATAAATGTTTATATTTGCACATTTTAACCCACTATACATTTCCCTAGGGATCACGCGGGTAAAGTCGCTGTCGAAAGCTAGTATTATATAAACAAGACATCGACACTCAATCCGAAAAAAGAATAGTGCACATATGGTTACTATAGAAACAAAATATTACCCACAAATTTTAGACTTAATCATAAATAAGCTTAACATAGATTGGAGAAATTAAGGGTTTTTATTAATCGATGTGTAGTCGTTTAATTTTGCGAATTGACAACAAATGTCAGTATTAGTAGTGTGATTAATATACTATTAAGACTTCCATAAAACGTTTTTTGTCAGATTTTGAACCTCTTCTTATTAGATGAAATCATAACGCAAGAATCAGAATGGAACAAAATTAATATCAATAGTTTTTTTTTTTCATATAATCTTAATTATTAGATTTGATCAACTTTGCATTCACAATGCTATACTGAAAAATATTTTTACTGTAAATTGCTTAAAAAATCCAATGGGTTCGACTTCTATATCAGAGTCAAAAAAAGGGATAAAATATATTTTTTAAGAATTTTTCATTTAGAATATTATCGCAACTTTGTAAGTTTTTTAAGGAGTTATATTATATATACAGTTAGAATTTTCAAAAAAAATTTTTTTTTAATTTACTTTTCTTAATGTACATATGTATATTTAAGAATACACACAGAAAATTTTATACCGTTCCGGTGAATATTTTCGAAGTTACACACAAATTTTAAAAGGCCTTTCAGAGCGGTTGGGAGTGCTTTTCAAACTTTAAACGCGTTTTTCTCAAAATGGTGTTTTCATAGTCGGTGAAATTTCAAATTTTGACACAAGCTTCTTAAATGCATATTTTTAGTAACTGATCGAAGATTTTATTTTAGCGGGTAATACTTTTTTTATAAACAATTTAAGGTCGAAATTTTGGGCGAAATATTTGTTCTAGAAACCGTCATTTTGTCAAAATAATTTTGCTCATTACTTCGATTAATTTTTTCGGCCGTCTAATTGTATATAACCCCTTAATCTTATGTAAGAACCACTAAGTATGTGATAAGGGAAATAAAAGCTACAGTGGCAAACGCCAGTTCAAAGCAGTATTTGTCAGTTGTTATCGTTATAGATGTCATTCATGTAGAGCTTTAAAGGTCAAGATGGAGGTCATTATTAAAATTGGCTAATCTTATATAATAAAGACGTGCTAAAATAAAATCTTATCTTGAGAACATGAAATAACCTTTTAAATATAGTACCGTACAAGTGGTATGTTCTGTCATAACCATCTTATTTTTGAGGTTAGGAACATTGTATAAAAAAAATTAAACTTAAAATTAGAATAGTTGTTATTAATGGGATTGTTACCGTGCACCTTGATTTTATCAAGTTATCTACATCGTGATCATGGCGTTTGCATCGTCGAGAATAGGTATATCCGGGACTCGATAAATCCTTTATTCCTACTATAGCCTGATAAAAATAAAAAGCCTGGAATATTTTTAATCAAGTTTGCGAACCAATTACAAGAGACTATATTTGAGAATCCATCTCATTTAAGCTACGGAAGGTATTAAAAAAAAAAGTCAAAAAACCTTCATTTCCTTCACGCAAAATTACTAACACGACTTTTTTCACATATTTTGGTTTTATTTATCATAGCGACAATGAAAATTACTAAAATTCAACTAAAAAATTCACAGGAAATAGTGATTTTTATCAAACTTTATTTTTTCCTTGTTTTTAGTAGGTGAATATGATAAAACTTTGTCTAAAGTATTTCTGAGTGGATTTTAATAATTTTTAGTAGTGTTTAACTCAAAAATCTTGCTCTATAAATAATTATAAGGCTATTGGTATGCAATATTCCCATGGAAATTTTCATTGGATTCAAAACAAAATATACTTAACGCAATATAGTAATATCAATTGAAGTCGTATTTTATTGTTAATATTATTGATTTTTACAAATATTTTTTACATATTTATAAAAATATGAGTTTCCAAATATAATATTAGGAAGATTTATGTAATTAATGGAAGTAACATAAGTAACATCGTGAAAATACGTAGAAGTCACTTTATATGTATTTTGCTTATCATTACCATTGAGAAATTAAAGGAATTTTGTTTTTTTTTTACTAATAATCTGAAAGAAAATGTCGTTAGATTATTCATATATTAAAAAGGAAATATATGATACCCTCATAATAAAAAAAAAACAGCTGTTATGTTTTAATGTTTGATCTCCTTACTGAAAGTTGGTATTTGTATCAGGCTACTAGTACACACTTGTGTTAGTCTATAAATTATTTTAACTTTAGTACATGGAAGCAATCCCATGAAAACACTAAACTAATGTAGGTATTATATGTGTAATTGCCATTATGGTAAACAACATAGCAATAATCAAATCACGCTCTTACTCAGGCCTCTTAAAAAGTTTTATGAAAATGCGTTTTTGAGGTTATAAGAGCCAGCCTATAATAAGCTTTTACTTCCGAAAACTTATTTGCAAAGAAACATTCTTCGGCTCTTAGTAGTGGCATCCACCCTAAGCCCGAAACGATAAGGTACTTAAAAAGAGGTGGCATTAATTCGTAACCTCTCACCTCTTTTTTATTTATGAATACATGACGGCTTAATCACGAAAATATAATGATCGTCATTTGTCTTTTTCTCCATTTTGTCTTGAAAAATGTATTGATCTGCAAATATCCGTATATTAGCAAAATTAGCAGATGTTTCAAGTCCCGGCGGTAGTCATAGTTTGGTTAGTACTCTTTATTGTGGGTATATCAGTTTTTTTGTTATGACATGGATCGACTTTCAATAAATGAATATTGTTATATTTGTTTATTATCTACTGAGGATTCGTACTAACTGCGTCGGAGTCAGTGTAGGACTTTCTAAATTCAAAAAAAATTTTTTTACAGGAAACGATAAAAGCTTTCTAACGCGAATGAACAACTTAAAACTACTCTTTACACATTATCAGTTGC